GGGGAGGAGGCGGAAATCTTTTTTTTTTCAATAAAAAAAATTATATTTAAAAAAAAAGATCCAAATGAGGAGCAGAAGGAGGGAGAACATGAGCAAGGAAGTCAAGACCAGGAGGGGTACACCCACCCGCTGTGACAGTGGAACTGATCTATTGGGAGCTCACCAAGGCCAGCGAGACTGGGACTGAATAAGCATGGGATGAATCCAGATTTTCTGAATGTGGTGGACAATGAACGCTGATGAGAAGCCAAGGACAATGGTATTGGGTTTCGATCCTAATACATGAACTGGCTTTGTGGGAGCCTAGCCTGTTTGGATGCTCACCTTCCTGGACCTGGATAGAAGTGGGAGGACCTTGGGCTTCCTGCAGGGCAGGGAATCTGGACTGCTCTTCATTCTCCAGAGGGAGGGGGAATGGAGAAGGGGGAGGAGGAAGAAAGGGAGGGGAATGGGGGGAGGGGCAATGTATGCAAGGAGGGGGAGGGAAATGGGAATTTTTTTGCAACAACTAAGAAAAATAAAATAAACAATAAATAAATAAAAAGAAATTTCACAGCGACATCACACAACCAATTCTCATAACTCTTCAGATACTTCTTGACATATTAATGACTGAAATTTTGCCAGACCTGATTGAAGTTGCTTGGCCATTTGATCAAAACTTCATTGATGAACAAGCCTTGATCTTGTAGACTTCTAGAGACAAACTTTCCTACTTTAACTAGAAATGGTAAATGACTAGCATTTCTCCTAATGTTTTGTATATCATACTTTTCCATATGATTCTTGCACTCTTCAAAGCATATCCGGTCTCCAGCAGTGTTTGTAAATTGGATTTTCCTCAGAAATGGATGAAGCTGGAGAGAGAAATCATCTGGATATGAATGGTGTATACAAATTTCTCACTGATGGTCCCTAAGAGCAATCCGTTCTCTCTCCCTACTCTAACTTTCTGTTTGAAGAGGCTTCATTTGAATAATTGTCTCCAAGTTTTTCCAATAAGATGAACTTTTCTCCCCATGAAATTAATGTAGGAGCATCTGAACCCGAATATGGTTCACATATGTGTGTATGACTGGGTATATAAGTATACATGTAGATATAAAGAGTATCATGATGTGATAATATTAGCAGCTGTTTATGCAAAGCTCCAAGTTCATGAAAATATATATTAAATGTACAGAAATTTTGTGTGTCTTTATACTTCAGGAAAAAGAAAATAGACTCCCTGCCTGCCTCCATTCCTCCTTGATTTGATTTGGATCACAGCATTTGACTTTCAACTTTGATATGAACAATATTGGAGACAAAATTAAAATCGAAATGGTACATGCGATAGCTAAATTTACAAAAAATAATTTCTTTGTAGTTTCAGATTTTGTTTAGTATTGTTTATGAGTTTCCTTACTTCATATATGTATGTGTACTACACATGTGACTGATAGCACTGGAGGACAGAAGATGGTGCTGCATCTCCTGGAAATGGAAATAATGCAACCCTGTTATGTAGATACTAGGAGCTGAAACTGGGTCTTCTTAATTGCAGCAAGTATGTCTAACCACTTAGCCATCTCTGACCCCCATATTTGTTCTAGTTTTATTTCCGTGTAATGCCTACAGGTATTTATATATATCAACTGCATCCCTGATGCCTGAAAAGGACAGAAGATTGTGTCATATTTTTGAGTTCTGGAATTACAGACAGTTGTAAGTTATCATGGATGCTAACAAGCAAGTTTGGATTCTCTGGAAGAGAAAGCAAGTCCTTCTAAGCACTGCATCATCCCTTCAACATGATTTAATTATATATTTAAATTAGCATGATGGGTTAATTCTTCAAATTCTGACATTTAATGTTGTGTTATTATCTAATAACCTATTTGAAAGTGAACATCAAGGATCATAAGTATAAGTGAATCAGAAGTTTGAATAAGGGTGTCTTAAAGCCAACCATATCCACTTATCAATAGCAATGGAGGTGTGGCCTCAGTTTACCCTATTTCAGGAGTGGGTTGGAGTTGGGGGTTGGAGATGTTAAAGGGAAACTGTTGCTGGTATGTAAAATGAATTAAAAAAATTAAAAAGAAAATGTTTAGAACAATTCCCAAAGAGCTAATTAAAATAAAATAATCAAAGAAGGCAAAACAGAGTAAATAATCTGCAAAGAGCAACTACATTTTCAGCTACTTTTGAGTTTATGGCAGACTATTTTTATTTCCCATAAGAGTTTCTCCCTATACTCTTGGATCTTTAAATGAAAATTGCATTTATATGAATTAGCTGATGTTAGAGATTGTCCCTATGTTTCAATCTGGTTATTAAACGTGCCAAATTTAATGTTACTTGCTTTTTGATATCTTACAAAATTTCACCTCATAACTAGGAAAAAAATTGTTAAAATATGTACAAATTTAATATCTTGAACTCAAAAACAACCAACTCCAAAATGATGCACCATAATTACAGACACAAACACAGCCATTGTGAAAGAACGCCTTTACATTTTATCCAATCTTTTAAGCATAAACTGAGAATATTCTGTGTGTTTGACATGAGTGAATTACCTTCTAACAATGTAGGTTCCCAATGCTTCTTTTGCTTATTAGGTAGGCTTACCTGCCAAGGCTGAAGCCAGTCTTGGTTTGAATCTTTGTGAGGTGCTATTTCTGTTTTCTTCAAAAGCATTTTATGGAGAGCATGGGCCACTGCATACACTGCATTCCATATGGAAAAAACTGATATCAGAAGTAACCATCACAGCAATTTTCTCTTGGTTATTTTTTAGGGATAGATTCAGTGGGCAGGGTATTTCATTTCCAGATAGCATAAGAGGAGGTGAGCAATTAAAATTGTTAGCCCAGAATTTATGGACGTAAAGATCACCTCGGTACTGGGATGGAGTAAGTGACTCAAGAAAGTATTTGAAGTCAGGAATATTTCTCTTCTTTGAAAATGAGAAGCTTCCTTCAAAAAAGTTAATCAACTCATTCTGCTTATTGAATACAGATTCTAAGTAAACTAAATGGGGTTTTGTCATGATCCACACCTTTCTTCTGATTGACATGATTGCATTTTGAATGCATAAAAGCAGTATTTCATCCATATCACCATAGAATACATTTACATTAACTTCTATATATTGAATGGAATCTACCAACCCAAACTCAAACAACCGAGGCTTCCAATTAGTTGGGATATTTTTTGTAAAGGCCACACAAATATCTTCTGATGCCATCTCTGCTTTCAAGTCTGAGAGGAACTCCTTGCCTTACAGATCATCAGACACAAAGATACCCACCCACTTCCAGCCAAAATGCAGCAATAAAGAGATCACCCCTTGGGTAAGAGCTGTGTCTTTATGAGATATCTGGTAAAGGGATGGAAATTTATCTTTGTCACTTAGAAAAGAATCAAACATTCCATATGTGACCTAAGGAAGTAAAACAAAAAAAAAGTGATTTTGAATTTGTAGGTATTTGTAATCATCACCATTAGAAAGGAAATGAGTTCATATTCACATAAGAGAATCAGGGAACTGAATATTGGTTAAGAAAATGTCTTCTGTGAGAATAGCTTCTCTCGTTCATCTAAATATGGAATGTGGTTTTTGTCAAATACTATGAACTCCCAAGTTACTAACAGTTATGAAGCAGCTAAGAAATGAACAGTATTCTGTTAACAATGTATTTCAAGAACATGATAGAGTTTTATTGTTCCAATTGAAATGGAACAGAGTACTGCCCGTAGAGAAAGACTGCATAAGTATTACTAAGTGCTTCACTCTGACCACATGACATCATCTACCCTAGGACCTCTAGTGTTAGGAAAGCAAATAACAAATTTTATCATAGATTTTGCTACTCCATTTAGAAAAGAGCATCTATAGGAACATCATCAAGTATTGTTGCCTCTTCCTTCTCTAGTAATAGATATGACAAAATCATCACACAATAACTAATGTAAAATTAAAATCTCTGGGAAAGATGGAAATTATTGTGTATATTGTTTTTCTTACATTAGGATGCAATGCATTTATGAGTTGTTTAACCAAGTTATAATAGTGTTGTTACTTTGTCTGGTTTTATGTTGATTATTACTAAGCATAGGGCTCATCTAATGTTTCCTCTGTTTGCAGTGGTGCCGGCTGATGGTTGCTTTGCTTCAGCAGTGCCAGGCAAGAGCAATATGCAGGTCTATATTTATGTAAGTAGCTGTTCTCTGTCAGTGCTATTCAGAGATGTACTTTACTGATGGAGAATTAAATTTCTTGGAACAATTGATGGCCTTGAGAATTGTTCCAAATTTATTTACATGTCCTGGACTTTCTATTCCTTTTTCTGTTAGTCATTGACCACTGGATGAACTGTGAGATATTTATACTCCAGTTGGGGCAGTTCGTTATCTGTGATGTATATTTGACTTATGAACAGCATTTAGCTTTGAGCTGCCACAACACATCTTGACAATGATTTCAGACAATGCAGAAGTGATCTAAGTGATCCTCTTAGAAAACCACAGTATTTACTCTTTATGTTTTTCACTACACTTTACTGTTGATCATAGCATGACACAGGTAATTCATTTATTTTTATGTTAATCACTGGTAGTAAACTTAGACAACTATTCCATTTTCTTTTATCAATTATCCACTTTGACTATGGACACCAAAATTTTATTAACTTACTTGTGGAATTTTGTACAGCCCCAGAAGGGTTTCAATTGCAGCAGAAAATTCAGGCCTGATTCCTGCAATGATTGCAAGAGCATTGTGTTGAGTTTTGAATTTGTAGTTCACAATAAACTCACTGCTTCCAGACAGCCACATCAGAGGGCCCTCTAAGGTTCTTTTGTGAGAGTCAAAGGTGTTGTACATGTGGAAACCCAAGGTCACATTGGGAAGCAGGTGAGAATCTTTATTGATCTCCTCAATAGCAAAGTAAAAGGTCAGCAAATATTGGTAGTTCTCCGATCTTTCCCTAAACAGGTGGGGCAGAAGGATGAGCACACTCGGGACATTATTCTCAGAAACTCTTTAGCAAATTCAGGAAATTTGGAGACTACAATCCCTGACATCTTCACTGACATGTAAAGCTTTGTGATAATGATATCCTAGGAACATCCATGGATGTCTCACAAAGTCTCAGCATTTGAATTATATTTTAGTAATTGATTTATTGAAGTACCTAATATAGATTGAGGTGCCACTCGTCTGTGTATTATGGCTGGTGAGTACATTGTCCTTATAAAGTTTCTATTCATGGAAACATTTGAATATGAAAGAATAACTAAGGTTTTCTCTAGAAATATAAATAGGAGCTTCATATACTTTTATTTTGCAATGATTATATTTCATACTCATTTAAAAAGGCATAATAGCTTTGTATACACACCTAATATTAAAGTGTTTCTTTGGGAGATAAACAGATGGCTAGGCAGTTAGCCACTCTGACTCCTCTTGTAGAAAACATGGGATAAATTCCCAGAGCCAACATAGTGGCTTAGAGTAATCTGTAGGCCCAGGTAGGAGATCTCCTTCTAGCATATGTGGGCATTGGGCAAGTGCATACACACATATATAAGAAGGGAAGCACTAAAGCACATGACCTAAAAATCATGTGGTGATATTTTGTTTGTGCTGTAACAAGGGGAGCTTGCCTGAAGACCAGAGTGCAGAGTTAGTCATACTGCCTAGCCATAAAGGTCAGGCAGTAGTGGCACACACCTTTAATACCAGCACTGAGGAGGTAGAGGCAGATGGATCTCTGTGAGTTCAAGACCAGTCTGATCTACATGAGCTAGAGTCAGTCTAACAGATAAACAGAGCCAACAGTTGGTGGCTCATACCTTTAATTCCATCACTAGGGAGGTAGAAATGGGAAGTATATGGCTGGGCAGGGACAGGAATATAAAGTGGGAGGAGAAAGTAGCTCAGTATTTAGTCCAAGGTTTTGTAGAGATAGCATTCAGTCTGAAAAATAGAGACAGGATTGCTCTTTAGGTCTGAGGTAGAGGTAAGAACTAGGGACTGGCTGCTCTGCTTCTTTGTTCTTTTAGTTCTCACCCCTGATAGCTGACTCCAGGTATTTATTCTTAGGACCAGTTAGAATTCCTGCTAAATAAATATTTTTGAAAAAAGTATGTCTGGAATTTGAGAAATTACTGAGCATTTAAGACTATTGCTCGTTCTTGGAAAGTACCCTACTTCACATCACAGTAGCTATTTTTTGGGTTACAATAGTGTGCAACACCACTTTTAGGGGAATACGCGTTCTTCTCTGACCCATGCAAAAACCAGGCACACATGTATTCACACAAAAAGATAGGCAAAACACCAACAGATAGAAAATTTAAAAAAAAAAACAAATATTTAAGAAAATTTAGTAACTAGTAAAGATGAAAGTTTCTCTAAACTTGCAGATTAAGTGAGTGAGTAGTCTCCCATGTAAGCCAGTAAAAGATTCAACGTAAGTAAAAAGAGAATATGAAAAAGAGGAAAAGCTCCTAAATTCATGAAGGCAGTAAAAGAGTTCTCAAAATGAGAGGAAAGGAAACTTTGGAAGCAGGAAGATGGACTGAACTGTCTCACTCATGGCATTCAATGGCTGGAATGTGGTCCTTAGTGGTGACTTTCAAAACTTGGGTTAGATGAGTGCCTGGCTAGTCCTCTACTTGAGGCGGTATAAGAGAACTCATGAGCTTCAAGTCCCCTGGTAGCTACTGCAGAAGAAATTTGGTCAAGAGATTTGTGGGCTGCAGTAAGAAATGCCTTTTGATTACACTGTGTTAATTTGAGAACTATAGCTAGATGCTGTTAAAAGAAAATCTGTTGTTTAAAAATTGAAAATTAACAAATATTGAGACAGTGAGAAATTAATCTTCCCCAGGGATTATCTAATACCAAGTGTTCAATAGTATAAATGTATAACTATGGATAATTGTTTACTTGGGCATAAAATGTTTATAAAATATACATGTATATAAATGCATACATATATAATTATATACATGTACATAAATGTATACATTTGTATAAATATATGGATATAAATATATTTGTATAAAGGTTTCCATATGTACAAATATATACAGGTATATAAATGTATACATCTGTATAATGCATAAATGTATTGTAATCTTTCATTTATTTTTTTAAAATAAAGCTTGCCTAAAAATCAGAAAGGCAAAGCTAAACCACTAGAGGTCAGGCAGTGGTGGCACACAATATTAAGCCCAGGATTTGCTAGACAGAGGCAGATGGATCTCTGTGAGTTCAAGGCCACCCTGGTCTATACAAGATCAATGCAGAAACAAATCCAGGTGGTGATGGCCTACACCTTTTATCTCAGTAGTAGGGAGTCATATGCCTTTAATCCAGCATGAGAGGGAATATAAAATGAGAGGAGAGAGGCTTAGTCTGTGCTTAGTGTGCTCAGTCTGCAGTCACCCAGCTTTGGTAGATGTAAGATTCTCTAACATCTTAGCTGCTTTTCCTTTCTGGTTTTCTGGTTGAACTCCAACATCTGACTCTGGGTTTTGTTATTCGTGCTGCATATATGTGTGTAAATGTAAGCATGAGTATAAATGCATGCGTGTATATAAATATATTGAAGTGTAGAAACGTCTATGTGTATAAATGCACACATGTGTATAAACATGTACCTATGTATAACTGCATGTATGAAAACTCCTAGAAAAAGCTGTGTCTTCAGACTGACAGATTAGAACTTCAGTGACCTGGGGAGATTGGAAAGTTGCAGGTCTAGAAGCTTGTTATCTTATTCCAAGGTAATAATAGCACCCTGAAGAGCCATTTATGGGCACCTTTGCAGGTTAACGAATCTCCTATAAGTAATAAATAAAACCCTTTTGGAATTTAGTCTCTTAGCAGAGCACTGGCTTCTGACATCCTAAAAGCCAATATTGAGATGAAATAGCATCTTGGGCTTGTAAGATAACTTTTCCCATTTTGCCTGTCACCTCCTCTCTGATTCTTCCACTAATTGATTGACATATTTCTTAAATTTTCAGTGAAAAGTTCATAAAGCTAACTTGACATTAGAACATGGCATCTGGGATCATCTAAATTTGTGTTCACTGGCCATAGACACACAAATTTGGATCTAGAATAAATTCTCTTTTTTCCTATTTGAGCTAGGGGTTGAGATCTTTTTCCTATGGCACAAAAGAAATATGCAGCACCAAACAATTGATTAAGGTGGTTATATTTATTTATTTATATGAGCATTTTCTTCATAGCAATAATTCTAAAACAATGACTTCAAGAGGGAATGAAGCTGGGGAGACAGGATAGAGTTGGAGGTAGGATAGGAGTGCAGGAAAATTATGAACCAGAGGATCAGGCAGCAGGTAAGCTAGTCTAGGAAGGCATAAGAAAGAGACTCCAGCCATGGGCAATCACAAACCAAGCTTCTTACCAGAGAATTATCCTGGAGTTTAAATGAAACCTCTGAGCCTGAGACCAGGAGGAGGGTAAAAATACAGAAATGTGAATCTGTTGATCATTGCAGTGAAGCACATGACCATGAGTTTCCTGTGGCCTGTCTTAGAGCCACACACAAGCCCCCTTGTCTGGTGACTAACAACCAAGAGGTTTTCAATGTCAGGACCTTTACTGTTCTCAAGTCTTCCCAGTCTCAAACCTCTATAGAGGCACCATCCAACTGCAATCAACCAGAGCAGTATGGCCTTGGGTTACCTCAGAGAGTGAGAGAATCCATCTAGCACTCAGAATTCACAAATCAATATGTCTACAGAACTCTGATGTTCAAAGTGAGAATATGGGTCCTATTAACACAGGCTGGTCGACATCACACCTTCATAAAATAGAAACTCAGGTACAACTTCAACCAAAGAAAACGGAAGAGTCCACACTCATTTGACCTCCCTCCGTATGTACATCTGGAATCTGCAATTACTGAGAACAGGGAGAGGCCTTTCTCTTATACTTCATCTTTCTTTCTGTATTTTAAAATTTGATTCAAATTTTCTTCACTATATTTAGTAGAGTAGGTATGTTTTCATTACATGAGACTATCTTGCATGCATAGAGTGTGCTTTTATCAAATATGCACCAACTCTCACCATCCATGAATGTTAGCAGGTTAAAGTTTTCATGTCAGCCTCAACTTGATTTCTCTGTGTCCTATGACTTGACTATGTGATGTTCTATCAAACAGATCCTACCATCAAATTCTGTAGGGTAACCAAGAACAGTGGAGATAGCTTGTAGTGTCTGAGTGTACATGGACAACATTCACAAATGATTTAAAATAGGTAACCCATACCTAGGACAGGGCATTGTATTTAATGGTCCATGGTATCTGGGAGAGGCATTATCCCCCAACTATAAAATATCTCCATTTAAATGAGTTTTAGGTGTATATATTTTAGGAAAGAGACTACAGTCGTATATTTCCATTAGGTTTTCTGCAAGGTCTTAATGTTAGTTATTCATCCACACCCTCTCTCCACTGGGCTCTCCCATCATTCCTCACATAACACTTTCTGCTCCAGTATTTCCAATTTCTGTTTTGCATCACATGTATTCTATTCCCCAAATAGTGAAATCTCAACTCTTTTGCACCTTTTATTTTACTGATATATATGTGTACTCCAGTTAAGTAGAGATACATGAAAATTCAAAACTAGAATCTGCATATGGGCACATTTAGCATTGTCTTATTATACCTGCATTACCTCATTTAAACTGGTAATTCTAGCTCCAATCATTGCATGCGTAGTTCATAATTCTATTTTTGTTTTCAGATGAATAAAATTTAATTGTGTACATGCATCACAGTTTCAATATCCATTCATCAGTTGGTAGACATCTAGGCATATTCAATTTCAAGGCTATTATGAATAGAACGACAATGAAAATGATCAAGAATTTTTATAGTCGGATATGCAGTACTTTTGGTATATTTCCAGGATTGATAGACATAGTGGATAATGTAGATATCTTTCCATACTTTTAGAAATCCTTAACAAAATTTCCATAAGACCTAAATCAGTTTGTGTTCCATTTTACCCACATAAATGTCAACATTTATTATAATTAATGTTCCTTGGTAAACTGAAAGCTCAAAGAAGCTGTAATTAATATTTCACTGATTGCAAAGGAGATTGAACGTCCTTTAACTCTTTCTCTGTCATTTATATTTCATCTGTTCATCACCTAGTTTAGTTCCTTGTGTTTTAAATTGGGTTGCTTGATTTCAATCGATATTTAAGTAAGTGTCAGTTGACAAGACCTTGGAAACTTCAGTTCCTGTTATCCCAATTCTCTGATTTTGGATTAAGTGAGAACATTTGAGATGCAATCTTGAAGCCATTCAGTATTGCTGGGTGAATGGGTTATTCGGTTTTTGTAGTCTGTGCATGAGTGCATGAGGCAGCTTTTCTTGCCATATTGGGCACCATTACATGGAAACACATGTTGATCTTTTGTGATTTGGGATATTTTCCTTGACAGATTTCTTAATACACTTGGGAAAAATGAGAAACTTACCCTTCTGTTTCCTATCCTTGTTCTCCCTCCCAGTGTGTTCTCTGCTTACTCAAAGAACTTGCTATGCATACTCCTCAAGTACAGTATTCAAATCTCTTTTATGTCTCAGACTTAGAGATTCCAATATTCCAAGCTGTTTTATTGTAAATAGCTTGACTTCACAATAGCTCCATGACCAAAGATGACACATTGGATTTCCAAATACTCATTCACTGATGGTGGGAGTGCAAACTTGTACATCCACTTTGGAAATCAGTATGGTGGTTTCTCAGACTGGAAATCAATCTACCTCAAGACCCAACATTACCAATCTTGGGCATATACACAAAGGTTGTTCAATCATACCACAAGGACACTTGCTCAACTAAGTTCATAGTAGCATTAGTCACAATAGCCAGAACCTGTAAACAAGCTAGATGCCCCTCAAATGAAAAATGGATGAAAGAAATGGTGGTGCAATTACAGAATAGAGTATTAATCACGTAGAAAAGCAGTGAAATTATGAAATTTGCAGGCAAATGAATGGAACTAGAAAAGAATTATCCTGAGTGAGATAACCAAGACTCGGAAAGACAAACACAGTATATACTCACTCATAAGTGAATATTGGTTGTAAAGCAAAAAATAACCATGCAATAATTCGTGGCCCCAGAGAGGCTAGGTAACAAGAAGGGCCCTAAAGGAGATGCACAGATCTCCCTAGAAAGAGGAAATCGATGAGATTTACTGGGCAAATTAAGGGTAGAGGGGTAGAGGAGAAGATATAGGGGGTGGGAACATGAGGTACCGAGATGTTCAAATTGGTGGAGGGACAAAGAGGGAAAGCAATGAAAGAGATAACTTGGTAGAGGTAGCCCTTATGGGGTTACAGAGAAAGCTAGCATTAGGGAAATTTCCAGGAATCTATAGCATTACTCTAGATAAAAATCCTTGAAATAGTGAAGATGGCATCTGAACTGGCCTTCTTCTATAAACAGTTTGCTGACTACCCTCATTGCTCCCAGAGGGACTTCATCCAGTAACAAATAGAAGCAGATGTAGAAATCCACAGTCAAACACTGGGTCCATCTGAGGAATCCAGTTAAAAAGAGGGCTGAGGGATTCTTAGAGCATGAGGGGCAAGGACATAATGGGAAAACCCACAGACACAGCTGATCTTAGCTCCTGGGAGTACACAGACTCTGGACTGACAGCTGGGGTGTCTACATGAGGCCTTCTCTTTGTGTGTGACAGTGTAACTTGGTCTGTTTGTGGAGCCCCTGGTAATGGGACTAGGATCTGTCACTTGCTCATGAGGGGGCTTTTTGAAGTACATTCACTATGGTGATATTCCTTCCTTAGCTTTGTTACAGGCGGAGTTGTTTGGTCCTGTTTTAACTTAATGTCCCAGGTTTTGTGAACTCCACATAGGAAGACTTATCTTTCCTGAGGAGTGGATGGGGGATCGGGAGGGAGTAGAGATGTGGTGCAATGGGAAGAGGGAAGTGGGGGGGATCTGTGGTTGGTATGAAAATTGAATAGAAAATTTATAATAAAATGAAAATAAAACAAAGTTGTAAACTATAGAAGATAATTAAGACATACAAGTTACAATCCCTTACTTCAAACTCTACTACAGAGCTACAATATGTAAAATAACCTGGTATTGGCATAAAAACAGGCAGGAGGACCAAAGAAACCAAATTGAAGACCCACATATTAATCCACACACCTTTAAACACATGATTTTTGACAAAGAAGCAAAAAATATCGAATGAAAAAAGGAAAGCATATTTAACAAATGGTACCTGCATAACTGGATATCAACATGTAAAATAATGAAAATAGACCCATATCTATCACCATGCACAAAACTCAAGTTCAAATGTATGAAAGAACTCAACGTAAAGACAACCACACTGAACCTTATAGAAGGGAAAGTGAAAAGCACACTTGAATGCAATGGCACTGGAGACCACTTTCTAAATATAACTCCAACATCACAGACATTGAGAGAAGCAATTAATAAATGGGACCTCCTGAAACTGAAAAGCTTCTGTAAAGCAAGGGACACGGTCAACAAGACAAAATGACAGCCTACAGAAAGGGAAAAGGACCTTCACTAACCCCACATCAGACAGAGGTCTGATCTCCTAAATATACAAAGAACACAAGAAATTGGTCATCAAAAGAACAAACAATCAAACAAAACTATGAAATACAGATCTAAACAGAGAACTCTCAACAGAGGAATCTAAAATGGCTGAAAGACACTTGGGAAAATGTTCAACATCCTTAGTCATCAGATAAATGTAAAACAAAACAACTCTGACATTCCATCTTACCTGTAAGAATGGCCAAAATCAAAACCACTGATGACAACTTGTGCTGGACAAATTGTGGGGCAAAGGGAACACTCCTGCATTACTGGTGGAAATGCAAGCTGGTAAAGCCCTTTTTGGTGTCAGTGTGGTGATTTCTCAGAAAATTAGGAAACAACCTTCTTCAAGACCCAGTAATACCACTTTTGGGCATATATCCAAATGATGTTCAGTCATGGCACAAGGACTCGTGCTCAGCTGTGTTCATAGTAATATTGTTTGTCATAGCCAGGACCTGGCAACACCTAAATGCCCTTTGCAAAAGAATGGATAAGGAAAATGTGGTACATTTACACAATGGAGTACTACACAGCAGAAAAAAAATAATGGCATCTTAAATTTTGCAGGCAAATGGATGGAGCTAGAAAACATCATTTTGAGTGAGGTAACTCAGACCCAGAAAGACAATTATCATATGTACTCACTCATAAGTGGTTTTTAAACATAAAGCAAAGAAAACCAGCCCACATATCACAATCCCAGAGAATCTAAACAACAAGAGGACCCTAAAAGAGACATACATATATCTAATCTACATGGCTACTAAAAAAAGACAAGATCTCCTGAGTAAAATGGGAGCATGGGGACCTTGGGAGAAAGTTGAAGGATAGGGGAAAGGCAGGTAGGGGAAGAGGGAAAAATGGTAGAGCTTAAGAAAAATTAAAAATCAAAAATCATAAAAGACATGCAAGTTAATGATAGGTCACTTTATAAACAATCAAGCTTTTTAATGTGGTCAGAGTGATGCTCTTCATTATGATGAGTACAAATGAAATGAGGGAAATCTTTAGCCTTCTGGATATTCTATCAAGGGCAAGCCTGAAGCAAATAACCAATAATAAATAAAGTCTGTCTCAAGGTGTAAATAATAAATTATATTATGTCCCTCAATGCCCTCAGAGAAATCTGCTGAAAATGGAATTTAAGTTACTCAGTGAAAAAGGCTTCCCATGATAGACAAAAATACCAGCTTCTACAGTCAGCAGCTGAGACTATCCACACACATGGGAGAAACAGACTCCACTTGAATCTTACCTCAGCTCTGAAAATTTGGACATCTGGGCTAATAACTGGCACATGCTTCACCCACCACCAGGTCCTTGCCAGAGTGTAGGAACTATTGGACTGAACATCATATTCTGCCTGGCCAAAGAAGGTTAGTTTTCTCAAGTTTCTCCTCTATAGTAAATCCCCATAGTTCTGATGGTTGAAGACTGATGCTGCCCGTTTGGCTGCCATAGCCTAAATAGTGTCTTGCGTGATATTCAAAGAGTGACAACCTCTGGTTCCAAAAAAGTCATTGAGAACACTATGGAGGAACCCAGGCTGGCTGCCCAGGTATCTGGTGAAGTCTCTGTCATTTTTACAGATATAGATGCAACTTAGATTATATTTCCTGTTCATATTTACCCTTCTCAGATCTCTGATGGTGTTGCTAAAAAAAATTGTAGTTTATAAGTTTAGCATCAATAGGTAGATCTACTCAGCTAATCCAAACAAGTTTGTAGCTGCATAGTCAGTACATATCATATTTGAAAACCAGGTCTTGTTTTTTTTTTCTAAGATAATAGGTCATCTGCTCAAGAAGGCAGACTCACTGACAGTGTTAACTTGCTGACAGGTATCACACTGAGAAAGACAACCTCACAAAATAGGTTTAAATGAAAACTAAACTGAAGTTACCATGACATTACTAGCAAAAAAATTTTAATATTATTTTATTTAAAAGAACTTCTTTTTATTGCTTCCATTAATCAACCATTTATGTACCCTGGTAAAAGATGAGATGGGGCAAAACGGTTTAACATTGATGTAAATTTTGAGAGTTTTCAGATACGTAAATGCAAATGATCAAGGTCTGAGGAAGCGATTTATGGCTTGAGAAAAGGAGATTTCAATATTTCAAAGGAGAAATTGTACTAATCAATGGAGATCTGATAAGCTATTTATTTATCCTTGACAAATATAGATATATTAATGAGTAGAGATCAGATAAGCTTATTTATCTAGCCTCGCTAAAGCATCATATCAAAGGGCAACATTTTTAATTTAATTTCACTGTTTTCTGAATATAGATTTATAAGTGGTTCTGATTGTGGTGAAAAAGTCTCTGATATTCATATCCAAATTCTGAAAAAAAAAAGAAACAGGGAAAGAGTGTTCATGTTTGTATTCCCCTTTGGGTTCTAAGCTTTTCCTACAGCTATATAGAATAAACCTACTGGAACTGTTTATAGACACCAATGAACTATTTTTTCCTACAATGAGGATTTCAGTGCAGATTACAGGAAGTGGTCATGGTAATATATCTAAAACTTTTATCTCTATCTGTAAACTTAAAAATATTCAAAATATTCATGTCCGATTCAGAGAGTGAAGATTTTATCCACCTATGACAGATCAAACAGAATCCAGATTAGTGTTGTTGTCAGTTAATAGTGGAAGCATTTCTGCCTCCTGTCTGTCCCTGGGGATGCGCTCTCTCTATTCTCTGGTCTTGGGACTCCTTCTACCTCCTGCCTTAGTAGGTTACTGAAATTTCTGTCCCGTGAATATATTCCTAAGAGTACCTCAAGTGCCAAATAGATCAGTCATTTCCAGAGTTTTATTTTCATTTACTCTATAACATCACAACTACTTACAGGCCTAGAAGGGTGTTTCTTGCTCACAGAGAAGTACATGGCCTGAATATTCAAGAAATTACTTCTCAGTAGAGGACGTTCTATTCTAGAATTGATGTTCAAAAGAACACAGGTAACAATTATAGCAACAATAGAGAAAAACAACAGGAAAAATGAAAATGCAAGCAAGCAAAATAACTCCTCCAAAATATCATAAATAATAAACAAATAAAGTCAAATATATTCAGAGAGATCAAATACTAGACAAGTAATTCTACAAGTAAAAAGATAAATGACGTAGAAAAACCTAGAAACAACCAAGTGAATTCAACTGGGCATTGAGACAAAACACAATGCTGTACAGGAAGAAAAGTCTGAGGGGAAAAGAAAAAAGCAGTATATATGTATATGACTCAGTACCAAGAAGACAAATAAAAAATACAAATACTAATAGGAAATTAAATTCCTGGGGAAGGGAATAACAAATAGGAATGCTTGAAATAAAAATTACAAAACCTTCAATAAAAACACTGGAAAGTGACTCCAGCAGAACTGACAAGCAAAAGACAGAGTATCAAGCATGAAGAATGTGATTTTTCTAACCACTGCATTAAATATTAATGAGAAATTAATGAGTAATAAACCTGACTACAGTGTCCGAACTCTGATGTCCTTTAAAGAGAACCATGTGAGATAGGAGCATATGGGATAGGAGATGCTAAGATATCTATTAAAGACATGGGTATTTAACAGAAACTCTCCAAGTCTGTAGAAAAAAAAACAAAACCAAACATCCAAACATATGACATTTAGATCCCTAAATATATGTAAACAGGGTGGAAACGCTCCTTTTCATATCTGAGTCTGTGTGTGTAAAAATAATATAAGCTAACCATAGAATCACAGCATGGACAGACACAAAATTTAGTGATTTCCCTCTTTTTTTCACTAACTGACTAGGAAAATGAAGAAGAGGAATACAATGGGCTGTAGTGTCTTAATGAAAGAATAAAA